GTGATAATTTTAATGACTCTTCCAGCTTAGCCCTTCTGCGGAGCAGAGACTGTTAGCTATCCTGTCTGCAATTTGCCTGTAATGTGTCTCATCCAGGTTGGCTGTGAACAAATCCTTGCCCACACAGACCCAATTCAAGGCCTGGCTGCTCTTGTTGGTGAGTTAATAGTATCAGCTTGGTCTTTTATTTAACGCCCTGTTTTCTAGAAGCACCTGTATGTAGAGCCGTTGGGTTGTGCGGGTTGTGTATCTTGGGAGCTGATACGACTCCGATCTCCCACTGGGACATTTTGCCCCATATTGGCTTTGTCCGTTGGGATGTCCCATGGTGGCCCATGGGTTCGTTCTCTCACCTTTCCAAACTTATCCTCCTCAGGTTTTTCAGCTGTTGCAGCCCCTTAGCCTGTTGACTGTCCATGGGATGTGGGCTTCAAAGGTCCTTGGTTCTTTTCTAAAAGTTTACCCATACTCTGGCTCAAGCAGTCACAGGTTTAATGCACGTTCACTGAAAGAAGTTTTCTGGTCTGCTTGTTGAGGACAAGGTGGTCGTCACAGTGCCCTAAGGTCTTAATCCAGTGGCAAGACAGTCTTAAATACCTCATGTATATTTATCTCTGTGAGTACTTAATTTGTCAGCCAGCAGTGTTTGTAAGGAAATTGTTAGAGAGAGAATTCAAAGCTCTTTTGATGACTTCCTCATAAAATCTCTCAAGTTGCTCATTAAAAATAAGTTCTACATTGATCATTATTCAGAAAAACAGGTTCTGAATGACAAAAAATGATTTAAGGAATTCTTATGGGTTTAATGCAGCTTAGTAGGATTGGGAAGTAATTCTTTTTCTTGCAAATTATGCATGTCACCATGATAGCACCAAATCAGAAACATACCAATCCAAATCACTGCTAAAGATGTTTGGCTGGCAACTAGAAGAGTTGTTAAAATACTAATGTCTTGGCAAACACTGTCAGATCTGCTTGACGTATTCACATCCTACTTCTTTTCTGAGGCAGAGTGGGACTCTTGTTTCTTTGTGATGAACAAGCTGAGGGTAGATTTCTTACTTCTGCCCGTGGGGAAGCGCTTTGTGCCTCTCCCTATCTCACCAGCTGCATTCACTTGGGACAGTTTAATCATGCAAGAGGCATGATCCACCAGAGCTTTAGGCAGGGGACTAGCTTTCTTCCATACCCGCCCCTCTGTGTCATACAGGAAAACGCTGTCTTCTTTCTGCATGTGCTGCAGCGACCCACCTCCTGCGAGGTAGAGCGTAGACTCGTGGGCTGTGATGCTGAACTGGCAGCAGTTGAATGGGGATAGTGTTAGCGTTGTCCACTGATTGCTTACAGGACAATAATACTCTGTCTCGTTGACGTGAATCCATTCCTCCGCCTGCAAAGAACCAGACCAACACTCACCCTTCGTACCACGCCTCGAGTGGGCATCACTGTCACGTCATGCTCGCTTGGTTCATGGTAAAGGAAACCAGTGTCTCAACATCTATTTGAATACCATGGGGCTCAAGGTGACAGATTTTCGATCCATATTTAGCAATCAGAGCCTCAAAAGAAGCTGAATAAAATACCAGAATGGCATGGCTTTAAAGGAGCTTTGCTCTTCTTGGAAAATCAGCGGAGTGAGCTGAGCAAGGTGCCACAGGGACCTGCTGGAACTGGCATAGCCCAAGTCCTGCCTGCTGTCCAGACATTTAACACATGACAAAGGAAATCATCTAAAGAGGGCTATATTGCATTGAATTGTGGACAATAACTGAGTTTGTGTCATCTGGAGGAATTTGATGTCAGCCTTGATGTGGAGTTTCTCTTTATAGATTTCTAACCCTTCCTCAAAGTGAACAATTAAGTACTCTAAGTCACCCTCATTCCTTGCAAAGAAACCTTACCCATTACAGTAAAGTGGGGCCAGGCCCTGAGCCTTTACACTTTCGACTGGGAATTGCTGAATGATCTTTGAAAACTCAGTTCTCTTGGCTTCAGGGAATGGGATTCTCTTACAGTGAGACTTTCAGTCCCTGTCAGGTTTCTTCCCAGAAGGCTGGGCAGTGCTTTCCCTCTTCTTTCAGAGATGGGAAATCCAGGTTTGAAGAGCCTTCATTTGCATTCCAGGACTTGAGCCCACCTTTTCTAAAATCTAGGCTAGTGTCCTCACCACAGTGCAGTCCTCTTCCCATCTGCCAGTGTTTCGCCCCCTCTCAGCTCGAACAAGGAAAATCAGGTGGTCAGTGTGTTTGGGGCAGGTACGTGACCAGTTTTACGCTTAGGTTTTCCTGTGTTAGCAGGCTGCGCCTCCACCGTATGTTTTCTCTATTTAAAAAAATGCTTTAAACAAACAGCCTTTGTACTCTAGCAAACAGAGTGTGACAACAGGGCAGCTTCTAATGCACACGATTGTAATGGCAGGCACCTTTTCATAAGCTTATTGGCCTGACTTACAACTGTGCCCGTCCACTAAGAGACCAAAAATAATGAAGTTACTGGTCAACCTGTTGGAATAAAACAGTCAGGGCCTAGCAATACAGAGACCCCATTTTGGATCAGATTTAGGATTATAAGAGCAAATGAACTTACTCCTTTTAGTGTCCTTCCTCCAATGCAAAAGATCTTGTCCCTGACTGTAGCCATCCCGTGATCACAGCGGGTAAAAGCCATGGCACTGTTGCCAATCCAGCGTCGGAGGCGAGGGAGGTAGCTGTAAGTGTCTCGTAAGGTTTTACCCCCAGAAAAGCCCCCTAGAAGGAAAGCAGAAGTCTTGAAAATCTATCCATCATCCTCTCTGACATCCAGCAAACCTTCTGCAAATATCAGCAGAGCTCATTTTTTTTCTTTAAAATACATAAGAAGCTCAGGTTTAAAATTTCACACCATTCTGCAGAGCTGATGCAGTGTGAAATTTAAAACCTGAGCTTCTTAGGTATTTTAAAGAGGAAAAAAAAACCCAAACAAACCAGTTCCAGCTCTTTCCGTAAATAATTTTCCACAAAAGATTTTTGAATAAAGCTCTTGGGGTATTTCAAGAGTAACCAGGAACAGCTTTAATTAGGGAATCTGCTTCCAGCACGCACAGTCACAGAATGGTGGTTTGATAGAAAAGTGTTCAAAGCTGTTTGAACTTTGGATCTTCGACAGGTCAGAGCCAATCTGCCAGTGCTATTGTCAACTCTTTCTCTTTACTAGGCACTCACTTGTGTATTTCAGGGGTGCATTATAAAAAGCTCCTTGCAGAAGGAAGGTGCTGCTATGGGAAGGGTAAATGCCTCCAAGTGCCTGCCTGTTGAATTCCAGCCTGCAGAGAGTCTTTGCAAACAAGGAAGATGATATTTCAGGTTGGCCATAAGCCCCAGCTCACCTGAGCTTTGATGCTTTCTGTGCGTGGACACTTTGTCTGCATGGAGCTTGTGTTTAAATCTTGTACCGAAGTAATGCTCTTAATTTTTCAGTTTGCTTGGGCAGGGCTGTAGGCTGGCCAAATCAAATTTGCAGTTACCCCACTAGTTTAGAAGGAAATGAATGCTATAGGTAGGTAAGATCTTATACCCAAGGGGTATGGTGTTATCCAGCCTAGATCACTACGGTATGTTTGAAGCTCTGTGAGACAATTTTGTCCTTGCTCTCTGGTAGGAATCAAGACCACAGAGGTTAAATGAGCTGCCTGTGGCACCGTGGGCCAGCCAAGTCAAAGCAGGGACCTGAACCTGAGCCTCAGCCATTCCCCCAGCTGAACCATTATCCTTCCTTTCCAGACATCTGCGCTGCCAGTGCAGGAGCCCTGCTGTCAGTTGGGTACACGTCTGGTAGGACAGCCCGTGTGCTGCCTTCCCTGCCCTTGGGGCCTCGGGTGTACAGTCCATCACAGAGAAGTGCCCTTCATTGCAACTGTGCAATTGAAGTTAATCTAGGCTAGATCATTACAGTGATCCCAGCTGGCCGTAACTGCTTTACGAAGCAGGGAGCCTACAGTGATGGCAGACGGGCCCAGGACTTTTAACTGCAGAGGCAGTAACACAAACAACACGGTGCTTTTCCTAGGACAAACCAAAGACTATCTTTCAAGTCCAAATTAGTAGCTACAAAAGCTGAAGATCCTACAACAATCTCCTGAAGTGTTTAAACCCATGCTGTTTCATTGTTAAACATCCTGCACCATCTACCAAAGATCCCTGTAAAGACTGAGGATCCCTTGTAGGGCAAGAGCTGTACAGGCTCAGTGGGTAAGAGCCTGCATTATACCTCTTTTTGTACAGATTAACAAAGCAGCGCAGTAGGGTTAGTCCCACATCTTCCATTCAGATCAATACCGGGGTTTAATCCCATCCCCAACACTATGGCAGCCTGCTCCTGGTTTACCTTTTCAGACAGCAAAGCCTTGGGATTTAGCCAGGATTGCAAGGTCAAAGGCAAGCAGGGGTGTGGATTGCAAGCAGATAATGTTACCTCTAACGTCTTGGAAAGAAAATAATCCTTACCATTCAGGAGGGCAGTGAGGCTGTGCTAACACAGCAGGAAAGGGGTACCGGAGCTGTGGGTGTTATTGGTGTGGGTGCAGGCTTAGACTGTGACATTAAGATGCCAGCAAAAATCAACGAAACTGTATGACAATATGCTGCTTTCTACTAGCTCTATCACCTGAAATATAGAGGATTCCCTTGTGGGTTGTGCCTGCGTGATCAGCAACAGGCATGGGGAAAGGGGCTGCAAACTCCCACTTGTTGTCAGCGGGCTGGTACAATTCCATGGTGCGGGTGAGGGTCCCCAGCAGTGTCCCACCACCCACGGCGAAGATGCGATCAGACAGTACATCCGCGTAGAAGCGTGTCCGCCTCTCCAGCATGCTGGCGACCTGGAGCCACGAAGTGTTGCGGGGATCAAATCGGAAAACCTAGGATAACAGCAGATGGGTGATGGTTAGCAGAAGGCAGGTGGCTGGCTTGCGTCTCCTGTGGCTTCAACAGCTGATAAACGTTTCCCTGGGCTGAGGAAGGTTTTATATTCAGACCTGGACAGGCTCAACTTCCAGTGCCAGGCAGCTGATACAGCAGTGCCTCCCCAGTGGAGCTGGAGGCTCAGTTATGGCCTTTCTGTGGGGGTCTAGGGGCAGGTTGTGCTCTTAGCTTGCAGCAAGCAGGAGGTGAAACACGTTGGCTTAATGAAATACCTTTGTTTCAAACACCAGCTAGCATGTGTCAGCTGAAAACAGTTTCAGTGAGATTTAAACAAGCACATTTTGCATCTCTGCTACTGTTTGAGTGTGTAGTAAAGAAAGCAGCTGAGCTTTGCCTGCTGCTCTTGCCCGGAGAAGGCAGGAGCGGCTTCCCTTCCCCTCATTCCTGGTGGCATCACCACAGGGGCACAGCACCTCTGCTAAGGCTGGGCTTCCACTTGCATCTTGTTCAGCAGTAAATACCTCCCCAAGCTTGTTTTGTCAGTCCTGGTTAGAAAGCCCAGGTCACTGAGCAAAGGTAGTATCTGCAGAACCACATGCAGTGAGTGCTAGGCTTGGGCTGCAGCCCAGCAGCTAGTGCCGTGCCCCTGCTGCTTCAGCATCCTCTGCTCCACTGCTGCTGAGCTGCCTCCTGCGTTCAAGGCAGTGGAAGAGAGTTGCTGTTTGCAGTGGCACTGCTGAACTAAGTACAATGCTGAAATAAGCCCGCTGGGAGCATGGGAAAGAAAAACATGCTGTTTTTTTCTAGCAAGCTCACTGAAACTATCTAGGAGAACATAAAATCCTGCACAAGTCTTTTTACTCTCCAGGTAGAAGGGGAAGGTCCTGGGAACTAAAGCAGATTTGCCTTTCAAGGGCAAAACCAAGGAAGGAACAGTTCTCAAGTGAAATGGTAGGCTTTAACCATGCCTCCCGAGCCCAAGTCCCAAGGCAGCAACAATGGAGACAGGGGTAGCATTCATGGGGTTGCTTGATTGACTGATGTGGACCTGGCTGAACCTGTGCTGTGGAAGTTGTACAGATTAGGATGACAATTTGCAGTAAGAGCAAGGTGAGACCAGGGCAGGACCTGATTGCTTCCCAGAGAGTTTGGAAGCTGTATTCCCAAGGGCTTTCAGTACTGCACAGAGCGCTAAGAAATACGTAGAGGTGGGAGATCTGTGGTGGGAAAGAGGAATAACTCCCTCCCTCCCTTCCTCACCCAGCCATTTTTCCAAGGCTAAAGGTTCCCTGTGTCTTACCTCATTTGATGGCTGCTTTCCCATGGGATCAAATTTGCACTGTCCCCCAATGACAAAGAGGAAGTCATTGATAATGACGACACAGTGGTTGTACACTGGCACACAGAGGTCCCCGACCTTGTGCCAGGTGCTGCAGCTCTGGTCTGCAGCCCACATCTCTCTGCACACGCAGTTGTCGGCGGTTCTGCCACCAGCAACAAGCAGCATGGTGGAACTGGAGCGGAGGCTCGTGCTCTGGGTCTGCATGACTGGCTGCGCATACAGCTGGGAGTGGTAATTCAGAGCCTCCTGCAGGTACCTGTGGCAGCCTGAATCCAGCCTCATAAGAGGTGTTTCCTGGACGTATCTCTGCAGATCCCGTAAAGGAATGAGAGGGAATCTTATGCGCTTTAAAATATCTGCTGCATCTTTCAGCCGCATGCGGTCATGCTGCAGCCAGCTCACAGTGGCTCTGAACAGCTCCAGCTCGCTGCATCCCTCGGTGTCAGTCCTGTCTAAAATTTCACAAAGGGTTCCTCGGTCCAGGTCTTTCAAGCACTGAGGATCAGCCAGGATCTGTTTGCAATGCTGCCCTATGTAGCACATGGCTTTCTGTCTCAGCTCTGCTGGGCCAAGTTTTTTAGCGATGTTAAGAACATCCATGCAGTTCTCACAGTTCAAGCAACCCTCCAGAAAGCGAAAGCACAGCTTGATCACCTCCCGAACCAGGAGGGTTTCTGCGGCTTTGAAGGTCTCCTCGATATTCTGTAATGAGAGGTCTAGTTTGTTGGAGTAAATGAAGTTGAGAACATTCCTCAGCCCGGCAGCACTGACGGCTTTCAACTGGATGTTACTATCCAGGCTCCCCACTCTTGTCAAGTTTCCAACAAACAGGATCTTGCAGTAATTACTTGCTGATGCTAAAATGATCTTGTGGGCTGGAAAGCAAACCCCTTCGGCCTCCAGCGTCACGTCACACAGTGCGCTCTGCGAGCGAAGGCTGCTGAGCCCTTCCAGGAGTTTTGCCAGGTAGGTGTCTGACATGAGCCTCGCCGTGCTGGCCTGCGAGCTGAGCAGCATTGCTCTGAAAGGTGTGTGGCCCTGGAGCAGCCCCAGGACTCTTCGCTGCATACACTCAGTGTACCTCCTGGGCAGTCTTCTGCAGCTGAACCAGTGGTTTCATGCTTCGAGGGAGCTGAGGCTGTGCTGCCCACGCCACAGAGCCATCCAAAAGGCAGTAGCTGCAGCAGCCTCCCTCCTCAGTGGCCTCTGCCCGGTGCTTTGCAGGCGCAGAGAGCGCCGTGTGCCTTGCAGAGCCGTGTGGGACCGTTTGCAAATGGAGCTGTTGGTGCTGGTTATTGCACAAAACCCACAGTGTTTGTGGGTTTTGCCTGTGGGCTGTGACACTGGCAGCAGCGGATGGCCACCAGCGTAGCCGCATTCCTCCTCCTCGCTATCTGGTAACGACCCATCCACACAAAAAAGCAGCTCATTCTTCTGCAGCTCCCCAGCTATGCTTCCCTGCGGCGCCTGGTCAGGTGCTCTTTCATCTGGGCAAGCCTGCACATGCTGTCCTTCCTTCTTGAACAACAGTCAAACAAAATCCTGTCTGTGACGTGCCACCCTTGGCCCTCTGACTAAATTTGATGCATTCAGACGACAGCTACTTTCAGGGAGGGGGTGGGAAGGTCTCAGCAGTTGTGTCCTGTTCAGTTTGAAGCATTCAACTAGTGTCCTGTACACAGCCTGCTCCTGGGCACGTTAGGGACTGGAGGCTAGGGCTCTCCCAAGGACTAGTGAGCCAGTCACTTGCCTTTTGGCACGAGCAGAGACAGCAGAGCACCTGGGAGCCTCTTCCTCCCTGTGGATACAGCAGAAGCAAAGGGTATCATGCAGCCAGTCTTGAGACCATGTGAAAGCTTTGGCATGAAGTTGGGATCATAACCTAACACTGGTGCAGACCCTGCTAGCTCTGCCCCAGCCTTACACGCTTGCCCAGCTAGGATAGCTACCCCTCTGCTTGGTCTTGGCCGTGAAGCTTGTGCAGGAGCAGTGGGTGAGACAGCAGAGAGGTACTGACAGGTTGACTTTGTGCTGTGTTCCCACCTGGCAGGGGTGTTTTACAACTCCTCCGGCTCGGCACAGTGTTACGACATATACCACCTGTACCAGTCTTGCGCTGACCCCACGGGCTGCGGCATCGGCTCAGACGCTGAGGCCTGGGACTACCAGGTAAGGTGTTGGAGACACCAACAGGTTTCAGCTGCTGCCCTGGTTATCCCCCGGCCCCATGGCAGCTCTTGTACCTCTCTTCTTAGGTCTGCACCGAGATCAACTTAACTTTCAACAGCAACAACGTGACAGACATGTTCCCCAAGATGCCCTTCACAGAGGCCATGCGAGAGCAGTACTGTTGGCGCAAATGGCACGTGAGGCCACGAGCACACTGGCTGCGGACAAACTTCTGGGGAGGAGGTGAGTTGTGCTGTCTGCTCGTCCCTTTGCATTACCCTGTAGTTGTCTGCCTGTCCATCCCCCCCCACCCAGCTGAGCTCCGTGGGGACAGACACAGCGCACTAAGAAGTCTTGGCAGAAAGTCACAGTCTTGTGCTAACTTGAGCCAAACAAACCTTTCTGTGCCTCCTTGAGACAGAAGTGGAAAACCTAAAAATTGCCAAGAATTTGTTTTATTCTCCTGTGTTTTCTGTTCTTGGCCATGTTGCTGCAGTAGCCAAACACATTTGGGTAAATGGGCATGAAGGCGGTCTCTCAAATGTCATCTCTCTGAATTTCAGACCTGAAAAGTGCAAGCAACATCATTTTTTCAAATGGAGACTTGGACCCATGGGCTGGAGGTGGGGTAAGCATGTGCGCTTCTGCACACCAAGCTCAGAGCGCAGCCTTTCCAGGTGATACACCGCCTCCCTCTCACTTTCAAAGCAGCACTGGCAATTCATCTTTAGCCCATTTGAGTTTCTGCAAGTGGCTGTTTTATGCTGAACCATTCAGGAGCCTCAGGACATTAATGATGGACACATTGAATAGTGTGCATTAACCAGGAACACTGATGAAGCAAAGGTGGCTTCACCAGTGCAGACACAGCAGGGCCTGACCCAACACCCAGGGTCTCAGTCACAACCCATTGTGTTCCTGTGTTGAGACTTGGTCTCAGTGCTTACGGCAAGCGCTCCTTGCTGTCTCCAGTCTCAGCACACTTTGTGAGACCAAGCGGTTGCTGTAAGCAGCAACTGGAACCAGGGCATATTTTGGCTTAGGTTCAACAAAACTTCAGAGTGGTGGCAGAGCTCTAGTTTAAAATTTAAAAACAAAAATGACCCAGAACTGGATTTTGAGTTAGTTGAGCTCCTGATTGTAATGCAGGAGTTCCTTGTTTAGGCTGGCTTGGCAATCCCAGCTGCAAGAGGAACAGGCTGCTTAGGTGCGTGGACCCAAAGGAGCCTGTTACTTCAAACCTGACGGTTTTCATCTTGGGGGAAGCCTTCACTTCATTTGAGACAGCTGATTTGGCACATTAGGGCTGTTAGCCGTGCGCATAGCATCAGCCGTACCAAGGATCTCTTCCCACGCTTTTCCTCAGTCCTGCCCAGCTCGTCTTCCAGTTTTCAGAACTGATGTCCGGTTCTGCCCAGTAACTTGGTGAGAGTTTGTCTCTGCTCCTTCTCCTTCCAGATAAACAGCAGCCTCAGTCCTTCACTAATTGCATTGACCATTAGAGGAGGTGCTCATCACCTAGATCTCCGGTAAGTACTGAACTCTCCTTTGGCTGACAAAAACCCTACTGCCCTGGGTGTTTGATCGTAGCCAGCCACAGTCCAAAGAACCAGGAGATACTTTACTTAAAGAGGACTGGATACCAGACTGTTGCAGCGTACCTGTGGAAGAGCAATCTTCGTACCCCGGACAGGGCTCTTGCAGCCTGCAGGGAAGCCGGGCTGTGCAGAACTCGGCACTGAGCTCACGTACTTTCATTAGAACCTGTTCTTGCACAGGGATCGGCACAAGTGTGTGATAGCCTGTAGTGATCAGTCATGTCAAGTAGTCCAGCGTCTCTTGGCATTAGCCATCAGCCTTCAGGCCCGGAGGAGAGAGAGCAACAGCCACGGGAGAGCTCAGGGCTCTCAAGCCAGCCTCCCATTCTCCTGGTGGGTGTGACACCGTAACTTGTTTTCCAGGACATAAATATGAAGTAAAAACAGATAATCTCTGTCCTTCAGTTCCCTGGCTTGGCTTTCCCCGTGCAAGAGGCAAAGAACCTCTTTGCCCCCTGACTAGCTCACGCTGCTCTGCTTTCTCTAGAGGACACAATCCAGCTGACCCCCCGTCCGTCACGGAGGTGCGCCAGCTCGAGGCAAGCATCATCAATGGCTGGGTGAAATCTGCAGGGATGGAAAGAGCACGGGAGCAGCGCTCGGGAGCTCCGGCGGGCGGATGGCTGTGAATACATCCATCCCCACAGCCCCCGGCAGGGGTGCGAGGCTGCCACCGGGATACAAGACGACAGCAGCCTGCTGAGCTGTGCCCGTGCTGTTTGGGAAAGTGTTATCTCCTCTGCCATGACAGTGGAAATTCACCTTTCTGAACTGTCCCACCTGCCCTCAACCAAGCATCAAAAGAAAAGCAAAAGGCCAAATCCCTGACTGAAGCCAAAACCGCATTGTGTGGGTTTCACGCTCACCTGCTCAGAATGAGACGGCATTATAAGCAGTGGAAATAATAAAAGCTTGCCTGGGAGGCCCAAGAACCATCACTGTCCTGAACAGTATGGTTGCAGGAGGCACCTTAAGGTTGAAGATAAATTATTTTTAGGCAAAATGTAAATATTAGGTGACGAGCAGAAAAGCAGAGGTATGGTCATTACTTACACAGGTTCACGGGGGACTCCACTAGTGACCAGTTATATAAAAAAAAAGACTCTGTCAGCCTCATCCAGTGCTGTGCGTTTGGTTTTTTTGTTTGGTTTTGTTTTTAACTTGCGCAAGAGATCTCCAGTTGTTGAGCTGAAGATTTACACAAAGTAATCCCGGTGTGTACTGCTGTCACTCAAGAGTTCTGTATTAGTGACCAGTAAAGCACGCTTCCACTTCAAACATCTTCAGATCTTTTTAAAATAAATTACAAGTTTATTAAAGTGTATGATATAATTTCATGGCTTGGTAGTATAACCAAAGAAGATAAAAAAGGATATTTCCCACCTTCCCAGGTGGAGTAAACTCCTCTTTGCACATAAACAGGTAGATTCTTACCTACTGGAATTACTATGCACCAATAAATACTAGCATAATTGCAAAAATATTAAATCCCGGTAATCAATTGGCTGCCTCAGTTGATCCATTTACAATGATTTTATGAGTTAGTGGAGAAGCCTCCCGGGTCATCAAAGGTTTACATCACTTATACAGGCAGAGTCATGGCATTGCTTCAGCTTCTGTTACATTGCTCAAACACAAGGCTTTGTGTTAAGTATTTGCACTGCTGGGTCCTCCCTGCCGTCACGGGACGATTGGTTCCCAGAGCTACGATGTCGCGATGTTATTTCACAATATTTGGGTGCTGACAAAAGGGCTTTTTGCATACGACCCGCTTATCTCTTCCCTGTTCTTAAACACAAACGGCCAGAGCTTCTGCCCCCACCCCCAGGTGAGGAGTGCGGGGGAAGAGCAGGAACAGATGAAGTCCATTTATCAGATCTTTCAGATACGTACAAATGAAGGACAACATATGGAAGACCCGATTAGTCAAACTCCAGCCCCCAAAGAAAAACGCTTTAAGACTGTTAGTGGAACCACATCCTCAATAAGACCCGTATCTTCTCTGTTTGCGCTGACGAAAACCTCTACATCTCTGCCAAGAGCTGTCAACGTCCCTTTTGCTCATACTGACGTCAGGCTTCAGGTTTGTTGCTGAAACTATGGCTTACACAGCGCTGCCACTTCCAGCCTTACTGAGATGCCAGAATCTGGCATTCACCCTCCACGCTCACAGACGCCCCCCACCAACTTTTCAGAATTTAGATTTGCTGTACCCCAGCAACTATTCAGGACTAGCACCACATTAAAAAAGCAGACAGCGGTGGATGTGTCTGGAGGATTACACCTTGCTTGTATTACCTTTCTAACAGCATCCTTCGCTCCCAGCAAGCAGGCACCCTAATTAAACCAACCCGCTGGCTGCATTAAAGCAGCCAAGTTCAGTGTGAGTCTTTTGGAAAGCGATCTGCAAGTTACCGCCTTTGTCCAGCGGCTTGTTTTGTGCCTTTGAGTGAACAGAGGCCCAGATGTCTTGACCTTCCAGAAGGATAGTTCTTTAACCCTCTTGTAACGGACTATACTGATCTCTTCTTTTCCTCTTGCAGCTAGTACTTGCCCCAAAGGAATCCACAGTGTGAGGGACACAAATGGTTTGATTTATACGGAAGGATGAACTAAAGGCTTTCAGATGCTATGGCAAAGGGATGAACAAGATACACATAGACTTCCATGCAGATGATAGATGAGCAGTGCTAAAAATAACAAAAACAGGCTTCAAAAACTGTGGCAGAAGTCTGAAGCCAGTTCCACAGACGTCCATAACGTTTTGAAGCCTTGGGCAAGGAAGAATGGGATCTAAGTGGAAAACCCTGGTTGTGTGGTGCTCTCTGAGCTGAAGGGAAGAGCTTAACAGCAGCAGCCACCA